CCGCTCATCATCAAACTTTACGTCATCGCACATGGCGGCAAGAAAGATGGAGGATCCAAGGTTAAATAATCATGAGCTACACTTTAATATAAACAGAAACAAGCACTCTTCCGTTGCCTCCCAAGAAGATGTGGGCATTCATCATCAAAGTCTAGCTTAATAAGGGCTACAATATACAGGGGGAGGGGGGGGGGGGGGTAAAAAAAAGTCACTTTCTTCATTGACTTTCGAGGCGCTATAAGTTACACTTTTAAATTCTGATCGGACATTTTTACCACCATATTAAAGAGCATATTAAATACTATCATGACACTCCGCCACAGCCTTCTGGACGAGCGCCATCGAGAGATTCTGGCACGCATCGTAGACCACCCTATTGAACTCCGCCCGAACCGGGTAATTGAGGGGATTCAGGTCAGGTGACCTACTTGGATATTCCATCTTCTTTAGGTACTCAGCCCTTCCATTCCAAAGTAGGCGAGATTGCTCTAAATGCCGTTCGATTAGATGTTGGTGCACCCAATGCTGTAGCAGTACAAGTTTCCAAGAAACAGGTAACTGGGCATGACAATGTGTGGGGAGATATTCTTCTTGAGTTGGTCGATGTAACCGCCAGCGCTCAGCTTCAGCCCGGGGTCCACGAAGAAAATATTGGTCTTTCCATTCCAGGTGCGTCGGTCATACAGTACGAGTTCCATCGTGTAATAAAATATTATATAGAAATATATACCATCAACTCGCGCTGGGCCCCCCAACTGAGCCGGCTGCAGACATGATGTCCTAACCGTAGCCGGACGCTTGTCGGCCAACGCCTGCCTCTGATAGTCTGGATGCGTCTTCCGCACGATCCGAGGGTCACCTCACCGTCACCCAGTTATCTATCTACGGGTGACCCGTCCGACTATCAAGAAGTTCTCTCGCAGTCCGCTTCCGACAGTCGCATAATTCCCGAAACCGTTTCTCATCTCTCCAGTCCAGGCCTACGCTGCAGCACTGACGCGGAGATGAGCAACTTTCCGCTATTCTGCGTGTACACTGACCAGCGTGACACGGGCGAGAAACAGCTTCCTCGCCGTTTATCGAGGAAATGTCTGCTCATCTTCCGCCCCCTGGTACTCGTATCACCGTCTCTCCTGCTCTGGCAGCCGCAAACACCTTTGAGCTGATCCATGCTGACTCGGTCAAAAACGTATACCTTATTTTACTTCGCCACCCTGTATACCCCTTTATACAGCCTCATCAATTAGCCGGACCGGTGCGCGCGCGGCCAGTGAACGGCAGAGCCTTTGGTGGCGGTTGGCAAAGTCGTTCTTGCGCAGCCACAAGTTTTTTTTAAGCGACACAATGTGGCATATACCTGTTTGTTATCCTTTCGTATTACTACGTTTTCATAACCACTTTTGTCGCATAAGCCGTCGCAACAAAAGCTGAGAACGGCTAAAGTGTGCGCACTCGCTTCCGGACTGCACGCCGCTTCTTGGCTAGACATCGGTCCCACCGGTCCGCATGGTGAGGACTGTAGTATAAAGACCGCCAGCCTGATGCGCTGCGCAGTTTGTCGTTTGTATATATGCCCCTTTATCGTCAGGACGAATCCGGTGAATCAAATACGCTTCAGTAGAACGGGTTCTGGAAACTACAAGATTGATTGACTATGAGGAAAAAGCAGAGACGGGTCATCTTTGATATACGCTTAGGGTAGCCCAACCTAGGGGTATTCAGATGGAACCCTCCCCAAACTATATAGAGCATCTAGGCTGTTTTACCGGATCACCTTATCCAGGGTAAGTGTGTGTGCATTGAGTGGGAACGGAAAGTACTTTTAGACAGATTACTCAATAATTACCAAAAGTAGAGGGGATGAAAATCAGAAGAATATGTGCTGATAGATTCACGCCCTGCTGAAAAAAATGAAAAGAAAACAGTGAAAACACCTCAAATAAAGCCCTCTTTGTTCCGAGCAAAAGGCAAGGGGTCGACGGGGACTTCGAGAGAGATTAGACAAGAGCAGTGAGAGAGCACGCAAGGGAGCGGGACGACAGATGCGACAGATAAAACCAGGGGGCAGAGCTACTGCCACTCGAGCTGGTAGAGTCAGTTGAACAGTTCTTGCGCCTTAAAGGCAGCGCCCGCGTTCAATTTGATGAGTAATGTTTCTTTCGCCATTTCCCCACTATACAGCGTCCTACTAGCATTTTCGGCCGAGTGGGGAAACCATCGTGCCAACTGCCTCTAAATGCCGTAGCTTAAACCACTGCTGAACGAAACTTGAGCAAAGTTGCCTACTGCGGTTGCTACCTTTTTCCATAGAGAGCTTCGATATAAGTGTCTCTGCAAAGCATGCCTTCAAGCTTTTCCTGTGTTGTCGAGAAGCTAGACATCTGCTTTTGACCCTCTTCCTGTATATGAGAAGGAGTTACCAGTTGTACGAAACCTCCAAACGCGAAAATCGGGCAGAAAAGGTAAAATGGACTATGGATGTTGCTGAGAATTGGATGAAAAAGTCCAGAAATTTGGAACACAGATCAGAAAATTTAGGAGTGACTGGAGTGGAGAATTCCCTCCCTGCCCCGATTCTCACCCCAATCACTTCTAAATTTGTGGAAAGGTGCAGGGATCGAAAAAAGGTCTAAAGTAGCATCTGCAGCCTTCCTATAATCAATGGAATTTTGTTATGAAAATACTCAAACCAAAGAGGCAAAACAAGACATACCCCCAGAAGGTCTAGCTCATCTTTCTGTGAGGACTGGCAGCGAGAGAGGAGAATTCCCAGAGGGAACATCGAAAAACATAAATAACTGAAAAAGTATAATCCCATTTGTGAAGGCAATTGGTCCCGTTCCAATAATAGGTTAGGTGGGAGAGTTTTCAAAAAAGCGACGAGGCTTGACGCAATGGAGAGAGAAAGACATCTCCAATGACATTGATTGGCTATTCTAGGGTTTGTAGTTTGTCAACGAATTATTTCGCGCGGGATCTATAGTCGTTGTTCCCCCGCATGGCTGGGGACTCGGTTAAGCGTGGCGCCCTGCCACGCAAAATCTGAGGGACAAAGCTTGCAGTGGAAGCGGGGTGGAAAGGCGTTGGCGCGCGCGAAAAATCCAACTCCATCCACGAACACGCCTCAGATCCGGAGAGCATCAAGAGTACACTAACTGCAGCATATAAAAGAACAAAGAAATAGGTGGCCTTGCCGAGTCGCTTACTAGTGATCTATTGATCCAGCTTTTAATAAGCGCTGATGTTTTACTGACCGCACTCACACATCCAGCTTTCAATAACGCTGATGTTTCACTTACCGCAGCACAATCGCTTCGTCGGCAACTACTCGGTGCGCATCGTACGCGTAATTCGCCCAAATGCCAACGACACTCTTCGGCAGCTTCGCAACGTGCAACAGTGTCCTGACACGAAGATCCTGAAAAAAATTACCGTAACACACAAAAGTTCATATATTCGCATAATTAGCAATGGGGGTGAAAACGCAGGCTGCATCAGCATGTGCAGAACAAAGTCTGTTTTCGTGATCGTTACGGCTTGATGGCTTCTTAAAAGCTGCCCTCCTTGGCATTCCTAGAGGCTAATTGTCAGAACTACTTTCAAAATCAATGATTACCTATTGCAAACGCGGTAAAAGCGGTAAAAATAGAAAATGAAGAAAAAAGGCACGTTGAGTAAAAGATCTTTGGCTTTGGACTGCGCCACGCACTCGATAGTACCGCGTTGCGCTGAAAACTGCGATGAATAGTCCATGTTAGACTTTCGTGCGACCTTGACATGATGGTTATCGTTGCAGCATATATCCGAACAGGGTCGACCATCCGTTGAGGAATCCTGGAGGGTTCGCTGAAGATGGGTAGGGTCGTATTTAGAGGAGTCAGAAGTCAGTAAACAATGACAACGTGAGGGCGGGGTAGAGGTTCTGAGTTGTTATCCGGTGATTTTTTTCATTTAGTTAATGTAGAGGGGTTGTATTGACCTCAACTTTCGGAGGGGAGGGGTCGTACCAACGGGCCATTTTGCTCAACGTGATGCTTGACCCTACATCCGAGGCTTTATAAGATAGAAGGGCTTTATTAGACCTACGTTTCTGTCGAGGTGGAGATGGTATCGTGGCAAGTGGCACGTCTACCACGCGCACAATCCGGGAGTCAAATCCCGGATGGCTCCCGTGCAGGCCAGCTAAGACTCCTACCCTCCGCAAGCGGTAAAGTGGTACCAGCTTAGTCTGAGAGTGCAGTACTTCGGCTGGCCCCCTCGAGCCATCGTGCATGCCATATTGTATTCATGAGCCACTTCGATTCTGAATGAAAGTTCACTTCATATCCCGAAGATGCGGAGGGCGTGGCCGCCTACTCCATCTGCACGTGGCGGGAGCTGCGATTCCAGTGAGACATTAACTCCATGGAACTATTGTTGTTATGGCTTATCTAAAGGTAAGAAAGGGTAGCACTTGTTATAAGTGAAAATAACGCATCACAAAAAGCTTCCTAAGCCGTCAAAATGAAGTGCGCAGCCACGCCCTTCCTATCTCCGAGATGGAGTGTAGAATGTTTGTCGCATCCCAAAGAAACAGGGATCTATGGAGCGGCGTAGATTTTGTCCTCGCGTATTGATTCATTAATTATTCTGAGCGCACCTTTTGACACCAAACTCATCCCCTCTTTGTTCTTG